TAAATTTAATTGTCATCCGTTCATAAACTCCATGTTTTTAGGTTAACTATCTCTCTCAGAAGGTAGGTATATTAATATTTATCTCAAAATTCGTCTTAATAGAGGTTCAGCAATCTATCCTAACAAAATTGCAGTGACCTTTAACAACGGTACTGCCAGGAAGGGAACAAAAATGAGCTACCACTTTTTTTTACTGACTAAAACTTTTTCCCACCAATCCGATGAACCTGAAGCTCACATTTCCATACATTCAAGCAATATTTACGTGGTATTTAAATTATACATTTTCGCGTGGATTAACTTGCTCTGATAATTATATGTATATGTATATATATATATATATATATATATATATATATATATATATATATATATATATATATATATATATATATATATATATATATATATATATATATATACATCGCTATATCTAATTGTACAAGAAACTTTATTCTGCTTTCCTTTATTGAAAAACATCTCTCTGAGCACTAAGAAGAAGACGTTCTCTTCAGAGGAACTTGAATTGATCTTGCGCAGTTGTTCTCCCGTATATTCCCGTTTTCATCTTCACTGATTGCCTGGAGTGGAACCACTGGACAAGGAAGTATTGTCTACGAAACAAATATTGGGATTTTTGTTTTTATTAATATTCTGTCCCGCATCTTTTCTGACAACTGTAGTAGCAGAAGATGACAGTGGCAAAAGATCAGTAAAATCATTTTGAGATGGGTTTCCATTTTTTATTGGTTGATGAAACACTTGTCTTATATTATTTCATGCTGTCATCATCAATAACTGAGGAGGGGTATGAGAAAGGAAAAGGAAGAGGAAACAGTTACAGATAGATGTTTCCATGAATACATGGGAGTTGTAGCTGTAAAATGTATTTTACCTCAAGGGATCTTTGTTTTGTGTCAGTTTTCGTCTTCTGCTTGTGAGAGATTGATGTAGAATGCAAACTCACTGCCACCCACTTTTTGGTTTCTCTCTCTTTAATTTTAGTTTTTGGTTAGTGTTTGCTGCTGATAGTATTGCCAAGGGCATGTAGGAATCATAGATGCTAACAAAAATCTGAGAGAAGATATAAAATATAACAACACAAGCTCTCATGTGTAAACTAGAACAAATTAATCAATTACATAATTAAAATTAAATAAAATATTGACATTTGAATGATACCTTTTCTCTTATAAATATAATTAAAAACTTAAGAAAAATGCGATTAGCCTTTCTATTAAACCAATAAAACAGATTTCATCATAGAAGCATGTGACTGATCGTACTCAGACAACTTGCATATCAGCATAACCTGATTGCTTCCGTTCGTTTCCAAACCAGGAAATTCATATTTCCTTTCCCTATCTATCTATCTATCTATCTATCTATCTATCTATCTATCTATCTATCTATCTATCTATCTATCTATCTATCTATCTATCTATCTTTCTATCTATCTATCTATCTATCTATCTATCTATCTATCTATCTATCTATCTATCTATCTATCTATCTATCTATCTATCTATCTATCTATCTATCTATCTATCTATCTATCTATCTATCTATCTATCTATCAGCATAACCTGATTGCTTCCGTTCGTTTCCAAACCAGGAAATTCATATTTCCTTTCCCTATCTATCTATCTATCTATCTATCTATCTATCTATCTATCTATCTATCTATCTATCTATCTATCTATCTATCTATCTATCTATCTATCTATCTATCTATCTATCTATCTATCTATCTATCTATCTTAATCAATCGTTATGTCATCTTTCTATCTATCGATCGATCGATCTATCTTGTTAAATCCAGACATGAACTAATATGTACAAATCTCAAGAACTCTGGATTGGTAGGTTTTAAAAGCAATCAGTAATTAAACACGTGACATGAAAGTTAGATTTGTCTCTGAGACTTTTAAATAACAATATATTATGAGCAATGCGTTTAATGATATCTTGTAAATGATATTGTTGTTACTATGGTGTCCTCGTATATTCAAATGTTTCATTTCTTCTTCATTTCTTCTTCTTCTTCTTCTTCTTCTTCTTCTTCTTCTTCTTCTTCTTCTTCTTCTTCTTCTTCTTCTTCTTCTTCTTCTTCTTCTTCTTCTAAATTTTGTTCAGATCAAGTATCATTATAGCCGCTTTGACTTCCCAAGAAATCCCTTATACAAATGATACGTACTCTATTCGGCTTCCTTTCATAACTTGTAAGTCGTCTGCCACTATTTACAGACGAAAACTAACAAATGTGATTTGCGTTGGATAACACGTCTGCCTGAACCACTTAGTGCAGTAGCCAAGATGCAAAACAGATGAATAAAATACGGTGCTTCTTATATTTGACGATCTGAGGTTTGGCTAATACTTCGAGAATGGAGGAGAGAGTTGTAATACTAAACTAATTTTGGAAAATTTATAGTCCTATGATCAATAACTAATGAAAATATATATAATACCAATATTTAATTTTTCATTGTAACAAAAAAATTTACATTTTAAAAATGTTGATGATTTTATGCTTTATTAAAATCAGTTACACATGTATTTCGGTCAGAAACAATCCTGTTTCTAAAGCGTAGAATCCAAGATTTTATCAGTCATATTTATCCTTCTGGTGATAAATATGTTGGTGTTTCGAGGTAGCCATACATTCATTTTGGTAATCATTAAACGTAAAAGATGTCCTAGGTTTATCTTTATACACTGGTAGAGAAAAACTAAGAGCAGAATTTTTGAGACAAAGCGGAGACAAGTTTTGGTCATCGTGTCTTAAATGAACTGGTGACAAATTTGCCAAGAAATAGTAGTAAACGAAATCGAGGAAGTTCAGTTACTGGCACAAGTCGTCGTCAATAAAATGAAACTATATCGTCTCTAGGAATTAGTTCTTATAAAAGCAGTTGGAAATCTACTAAACTTAAAGCGTCATTGACTTCCTTTCATGGAATTGTGCGTATGACTGACTGTAAAAGTTGCGACATGGGGAGACGTTGTTCAGTGAAGATTCTTATAATGTATTTGCACATAACCATGCGACTATGTTACATCGGTCTTGATTTATCATTCAGGCCACCTGTTGATACGAAGCAATTTTCTTTCGAATTTTACTCAAATAATCTGAACCAATCAAGGACAGATGATAACAAGTGGAGACTAGCTGATATTTTTGAGGAAATCGGAATCTCTGTGCTCCCAATCGCAGAATACCAGACCATAACTGAAATCCTGTACATTGGCTCCTTGTCACAAGAAGAAAAATAACACTCTTGTTAAAGTCCTAGAGTCAGTCAATCCCTATATTTATGCCATTGCATTTTAAAGATATGTAATTCACTGGCAAAGTCATAAAAGGTGTGCAAGCCACTTGATTCATAACTGTCAATGTGTTTGTTGTATAGAGTGACTAATGAGTGCATGCATGACAGGATGGGTACAATGATGTCATCCCATTCTTTTGTGAAGTGAAATCGTGTTGAGTCACTCTTGTCACAGGTCGCAGTATTACTATCGTCGCAAGACATAACAACGCACTTTTCGGAACAAACTGCCACTATGATTCAAAGGTTTAAGTAAACCTTAAGTACCATTTGACAGTGTGTTGAAATTCTTAATCTGTTTTCAAGGTCGACTTAACTCGTGTTCCTTAATTTCTACCACATAATATCCTTTATTTTCCAAACACTGAAGTCAATAGTAAATTTTGAAATATACGTTTTCCATGGTTAATCTTATCAGACGATTTCTCAGTACGAAGAGCAGGCAGGACATCCATAAAATAAATATATATGAATTACGTATACGATCTGTGAGTTTTCTAAATAACAGCAAAACAATTAATCATATCCATGCTTCTTTTCTCAATCGCGTCTATTATGTTTTATCTGTTTGTCTTTAGCTTGACACAAGTAATGCAATCAATGCACAGCTGTGACAGAATAGCTACGGAAGACATATTTACAGTACTAAGATGGCATAACGTATGGTTAGTTAGCAGTATACACATACACTTCATTCACTAGATTGATCCACACTATTTGGAAGCGGGAGAAGTGCGAGAAATAATTCTAATAACTGTGAAATAACGACGAGAAATAGTCACAATTAACAGACACGATTTCAGCATCTCCTTTGGAAGTTCAAAAGGGCCTGCATAATAGCCTTGGTTTCAATGGCAGAACGTTTCTTGCTGTTCCGTTTGCAAACCATCCGGTGTCATAGTAATTGACTTCTGATAGCACAATATATGGATTTACTTCAGTATTGAAAAAGTGTGGAAAATACGTTTTTGATATTTCTGTCATTTTTAAAGGTGTTTTTCCTTCTTACAAAAAATGTATTAGGTAAATGAGTTTGACTCCATTGTGACTTGTGGAAATTCTTTCCTTTACTGAAATATTTTTCTAAAGTAATTTTCCATATCTAGAAATACTGTGGGCAATGAATGTTTTGTATTTGTGGCTATGGCCGTAATGATACAACACTTTGTTCTACGTGTTATACTTGGGAAATGAAGCCCAATAAATAGAATTAGGTCGAATAAGGTGATCCACGACATATCTTTTCACGTTCCTCTGGAATTATTCTACGCAATAAGCCATACGCAATTTAAGAATGGGAATCCATATCTCTTGACAATATTCAAGTCAAAATAATAGAATTGAAACAATGGTAACAGATCAGTACCTCGTTCTGCTCATTCAGTAACTATTCAAGTTCGCGGTCATATCTTGGAAGGTAACAATGATGTGTCTCGAAATGTTCACTACAAATACGATATTGTTTTCTTACCTAGACGAAAGTGTGACCTTTTGTTATGGGGTTTTTTTTTCTTAGCTTGATTTGCTTCATGCGATATCACTCTTAACACGTAAATATTCGCCTGCAGGTGGAGCATTAGATCATTTGCGTCCCTACAATACAAAGGATGGACACTAAATATATATGAAAAATCTCACCACAATCAGTATGCTGCTCTCGTATTGTCCGATGCCTAGTGGTTAGAGTGTCCGTCTCATATGCGGGATGTCGTGGGTTCGAACCCCGGCTGAGTCATACCAAAGATTTTAGAAATGGTACAAACATCTGCTTCGCTTGATGCTCACTATTAAAAGGTTAAAGTTAGGACTGGTTGGCCTGGTGTAAGGATTATGTGACTGAGTGGGACATCATCGCACATGTCTACGGCATGATGCCCTAGTGCTGTCACACTGCAGACATCGTAGTGAAAGTACTATAATTGTTAAAGCTACGTTAAAAATCTAACTCTCTCACACACACATACAGACACATAGACACGCTCTCAAATGGCCCCATATAGCACGACAGTAACTATATCAGAGAGGTCATTCTAGAAATAGCATCAAAATAAATTTGGTTACGAATCCTCGAAACAGAAAGTCTCCAAGTGAAACCTGGGGGAAAACTTTCGATGCATAACGAGGAGCTAATTCGTTCCAAATATCTGCAGTTCACGAGGTACTAACCCAGTCTCTTTCCAATTGCTGGTTCTAATAACGTTTCTTATTGTCTTGGTTGGCTCGGTTCATGAGCGTTACTATTCAGGCGTATTTGTTTTATCTGCATCAGCTCTAGCTACCACAAAGGCACGGGATACACAAGTGAGAATTTGTCATTATTAGTCTTGAATATACATCCTTTCGTAGTAGGGAGAGGTCACACTGATACAATATGTGTTATACTCTGCCTGAAAGAGATAAAATGTGTCATTTTCCATAGGTCATGTCAAACTAGTCATTGTATAGTTGGATGTTTTGAATTGTAGCCAGGATTTTGGAAGAGATTTATACCGAAGATATTCTAACATAGACTCCGTTAAGCCAGATTTAAATGCAACTGACATCTCTGTTTTCTTGCAGCATAATATACCATTGTCTTGGATTCGGTTTATCATCTATTCTGATTACCCTAATCCAAAATTTAATGTATCTACAATAATTGTTGAAAAACGAAAGTGTGCGCATAATCCTTGCAGTTGAAGGGAGTATTGTTTCTCTGAAGGTGTAAAAGTCTTGTGTAGTACCTATCATGTACCTTTTCAATTGCATGTGAATATAAATTCCCCAAATTGCAGCGGCATATGTTACTCCAGTTGTGATCATATCATCAAATAGTTTGAAAGCGTCGTTCAGGAAAAATTTGCTTATCTTATTGTGAATAATACTTTCTGTGTGTTGAAACTTTATTGTTTCTATTGCGAATTCTCAGTTCGCTTTTGGCAACAAGATTAGGGATAAAGTAGAGGTGAAATATTATCACATATAAGGATTGGATTTATTTACCCTAATAATACCAGTTGTATCTACACCTCAAAACTCTGCAATTTCTGAATAAAACAAATTTAGAGTTATCTAAATTAATACACATTCCACTATTTTCACAACAAAGCTTCAATACTATTTAATGCAAAAAATTGAGAAGACAGAAGCAGGTGTGTGTATATGCATGCAACAAAGAGTACATGAAACAATCACACATATCAGCTACAATATTAAATCTGAAGAAAATACACAATAGTATATGAACTAATTTCTACTGCAGATGGGTAATACACATGAAAGGTAATATATCATTTCAGTCTGTATTCATTTTTGTAGTGTTCACTTCTCTTTGCACAGGTGAATCAGTTAATATGAGAAATCGCGTCATTTAAAAAATTATGACATGCATTGCTTAATATTTATACTGCATTATCTGTTATTATGACATGCATTGCTTAATATCTATACTGTATTATCTGTTATTATGGCATGCATTGCTTAATATTTATACTGCATTATCTGTGTTATTATGACATGCATTGCTTAATATTTATACTGTATTATCTGTTATTATGACATGCATTGCTTAATATTTATACTGCATTATCTGTTATTATGACATGCATTGCTTAATATCTATACTGTATTATCTGTTATTATGACATGCATTGCTTAATATTTATACTGCATTATCTGTGTTATTATGACATGCATTGCTTAATATTTATACTGCATTATTTGTGTTATTGCATGATACGCATTAATTTCTAAAATTAAACTTTTAATAACATTTCTTCTCTGAGGTACATATGCTACAGGATAAAACAAGAAGCAATTATTTAATATAGTTCCTTTCAGTGTTGAGGTACATATATTTTGCCGTTTCCATTTTGCAAATACTCAGTTCTGTATGTGTGGCTTGATATCTTTTAAAAGTAACCATGCTGATTTATTACAAAAAAAAAACTTGTAAGAGGATCTAATTTTACTTCGTTTTTCTGAATAATTGTTTTCTTGGAGAACAGCATTAGTGATTTGGACAAAGACTCTTGTGTGATGATGGATGATCCATGATAAACAGCTAATAGTGGATTACATAATAATTAATGTTGACGAAGTGACTGGTCACCACATTATAAGACAGGCCTCGTGTTCTTTTATTCAGATGGTGGTAATCAGGACCTGTGTGACGAAAGCTGAGTGAAATACCCTAATTATATTTTATATGATGTAATCCTTTCTCAGTTCAGTTTACCAATTAAGTGAAACAATCTAAATGGCTGTATGCAGTGACGGTTTGAAATGATCGAAAGTGAAAATTCTTTCTATGAAGATGATGCGTACGGTCATATTTTATATCCGTGTGCAGCAAGCGATAAGACTTTAACGCGCTTTGATGATTTTGATCAGAATGATCTACCATCTACATAATAATACCAGGTTGGATGAATTATGTATTACATTCTGTTTTCAAAAGAATTTTCATAATCAGCAAGATTTAAATATAAAACAAATCTAGAAGAAACGCTGGAATGAAACTGATTTTGTGATTGCCAAACGCGGTGGAATAAACCTATTGATACTTCAAAAAAACTACAATCATGGGGACCCATGATCATACGAGACTTAATTAACAAATATTGTTATAGTATTACGACTCTGTAGTTAAAGTATGTGTGTGTGGGGGGTGGTTAAGGAATGAATTTTGTATAAATCTGTTTATTTCATTTTTTTCATTAAATGTAATTATTGATATGATTCTGTTAATAGCAGTCTAATATGCTGTTGAACAAACAGCGTGTTTACTTGAGTCGTAAATCTGACTCATGTGAACACGTACTGTGTATGATGACAAATTCATTACAAGCAAACATTCAGGAATAGCTATGAAAACGATTGGCTGATAATTGGTAAGGCTTTCCTAATGTACAGATGAATTACGAAATTACATACGTCATCCGTACGCGTGTAATTCAAACAATGTATTAACTTCATTTATATGTTGATGTGTTTTTGTAAGACAGACAGTCATACACAGTCGCAGTCGTAGTCATAGTCTGAGTATTGTAACATCTTATATGTACATAACTTCTATTTCCTTAAAAAGGTATTTTTGTGCTAGAAGAAGCTGTCTGTTCGTATGTCTACGTAGAACAATGTGTCTTGTAAGAGGAGCTAATTTTACGTCATTTTTCTGATTAATTGTTTTCTTGGAGAACAACATTACTGATTTGGACAAAGACATTTTTCCAAAGATATTTCAAGTTGGAACTGAACAACACAAACTGCTTTATTGTATAATTCTGGAATTTTCTGTCAGCATTCGTCTGACGTGGTCATCGGCCATTTTGAACCGGAATTAAACTTCAGACAGTGTTGAGAACTTTGTACAGGCATTGTTTTTTGTTTTGAACAAACAATCTGGATCATTCCTGTAAACCGTAAGTCTTGTTTAACATATTTACATATTTTCATGTTTTCTAGAAAAATAAATTAACTTTTGTTTAAATTTACAAAGCTTGTTTTCACTCTTTTATGTTACTTTGAACGAGCCGATACGCAACACTAGTCGATTTATTGAACACTTGAGATAATGATGAACGAATATTACAAATGAATTCAAAATGTAGAATATCCAGGTGCAAACAATGAATTAACCATTATACAAAAAGAGGAACAAATATTTTGTGGGAATGTTGCTTAAGTCATAAATTAAAACAAATAATACGTGGTAAATAGAGGCTGAAATGTATGAAAAGCAGATCAACAAGTTAGGTAAACAAGACACAGCCATAAAGAAAGAAAACAGGAAATATTGGAAAGTTTTGAAATTAAAACTAACCTAATTAGTGTTACGTCAAATACATTTGAATAAAACATATTGCAAAATATATATTTGCGAAAAAACATTATGCAAATGGCTGATATAGTTGTGGAAATAAGGTGATGTAACAATAGCTGTTGAAGCCACAGTGATACATATGACAGTACCAATTGTTGAGCTCTCTATAGAAGTGATAAACAGTCCCATTTCACGGAAACAAGTTTGTTTATCGTTTCCTTGTGGAACGTTTTTTTATGGTTCAAATAACCATTATTTCATTTCATTGAGAGGAAAGCTGTCTAGTTTTATTGACAATCTAATAATGGATGGTTTAAATTTTTTGTTCTTTCAGAATCATAACAAAAATTTTTAATACTGTTCTTTGCAATTTGATACGAAATAGAAACATTAAGAGAACGCTTTATGTTTGATGACATGAATTTCAGTTTGCCATCAGGAACTAATTGAAGAACATAAACTATACTTTAAGCACTTTGTAACTTAGTACCATTCCTTTCCAATAAAAGATTGCAAATTGGTATCAATTTAACTATACTAACATTCGTGAGAAAATGAGAAAAGAAAATTGTGCTAAACCCCTCTTCAACTTATACGTGGCGGGTTTACTGGTTTTGGCTACATATCTAGGAATAACCTCCAACGATAAAATTTGCCCGGTATCGAAAAAAGCTTCTACAAAGTAGGAATTTATGGACGGAATAAAGATGTAATCAGAGATAATGTATAGAACAAATAAATCGAGCTCTTGATACAAGCAAAAGCAAAATTTAATAAAGTTTCAAATAATAAAAATTTTCAAAAGTAAATAATATGAAATCTATAGTTCGAAAGATACGCTTCAGTCTTTAAGTATTAAATATTTAGCGAATTTAAAAAATACAATATTAACCGATTGTGCTAAGATAGAAACAAAATAATTTACGAGTGCG